ATTTTTAATAATTTTAAAAGTCCTTTATTATTTACAATATTACCCTGTACTATTCTTATATTATTATAATGTACTGTATTACTTATGTAAATATTAAGCCAATTTATATGAATTTATATCAATTAATATTATGTAATATAATATTATGTATCACTAATAAATATATTGTTGTATATTAACTACTATTATTAAAAAAATATAATTTTATTCAAATCATCTTCTCCGAAATTAACCTATACATACAAGAATCCTACAACGAATATCAAAATCATAAATATATTCGAATTGTATTTATCTTTAGAAAAAAAGAATCAGCTTGTGTAAATATCGTGGGAACACGATACCAAAAATAAAAAAAACCGTGTAATTTGTAATAAATTATCGTAATTTTTTTTCTAAACTTGTTTTGCCGACCACTGGGAGGTGTTCATTTAAAAACTTGGTTGCAATTTGTAATAAATTGAACAGGTATTTAAAATTTGTAAAATAAACAATCAGAGTGACGTAGTAGGTACAATTTTCATTTCCATCTGTTATAATATCTTATATCAATTGCGCGTATCACCCACACAGAGGCGTTCTACTTTAAGCTACTTTGGCTGTAAAGTTGGAGTTACTAGGAATAGAGACCGTATTATTCATAAAAACGCCACACGCATAACTTTACAAACAATTCCATTCGATTATTTCCGTTACCAGTGCTATTATCATCACAAATCTATTCATAATACACAGTTTTCACAGTTTTTCTCAACATGGCATAGTTCACAGTACACACGACTTTTCTGTGTTTGCCCTCACATTTTGCTCACTCACTCCTAACATACATACATCCTTCCAAACCTATACAACAATTGCAGTGTACCTTATGCGGGCTTATGTATTTGGTTATATTCCATACTTCCCACTACTTGGTAATTGTACTGATAAGTTATCACATAAGGTAAGTTGTCACTTCTGTCTCTTACCATATATTTGAACGTATTTTATCATTTCCTATTACTCTATATACACAATACAGTGCTCTCTTGAACAAAGCTCTGTATAAGGTAGCTAGTGATCATTTGTGGAGGTAAGCAGTTGTTTATACATTTATAAGGTATTAAATAAGTTAGAGATTCACGTCTGTTATTTTGGTAAAATACAGTTGATGTCTATTATCACAACAAACTCGAAGAAAGGCGTACATACTCTTTTTTCTTTTTATACATAATACAGTCCTACACCGTTACTCATTACACTAAGATCGAAAGCTTACAACCAAAACCTTGCCACATAAATTTAAAAATTCTAACTAAAAATATCAAGGACAAAATTAAAAATATCTTATTTAAATTTTATAATAACCCACAAATCAGATAAGCAGAACATCGCAGAAACCGATTCTTTCTTAAGAAAACACATTTCTAGTATATTAGTAACTGTTGTAATATACAAATATAATTTACCGAATATTAATCAAGTTCTCTGGTAAAAAAGTTATCCACAGAAAAAAAAAATAAATAAACAAATATCTTTGTAAAACTAATAAGTTCTTCGCTATACTATTCTAAAATATTCATAACAACATATAATAATAAAATAATAAATTAAATATATTTATAAATTGGTTATTACTCATAAATAAATATATAAATAAGTACATAAGTAAATTAATGCATCGTTTAGAATTTTAAAATGTGTATATTGTACCACCGGTTTCAAATTAAAAATTCATCATCAGGTAAATAATTATATTTTTTGGAGCTTGAACTGAAAAAAAATTTCGATTTTGATTTCAATTTCAGAAATCGATTTTGTTTTTTTTCGATTTATGTTTCACTTTAAAAAATCGGTTTTTTTTTCGATTTTGATTTTAATTTTGGTAAAAAGGTTTTGAATTTGTATGGTTTCAATTTTTATTTTGATATTAGTATCGATTTTTTAACGGTTTTAACCGGTATTTAAAATCGATTTCAAAACCGTTTCAAGCCCTGAATTTAATTTATCATTCTTAATAAATCATTATATACTTTCATTTACTATATTAACCTTCTAATATTCTTATATTATATAGGTACTGTCTTAAATTCATATTTTTAACTACTCCAATTCATAGAAACTATATAATGAATCAATATTATATAACAATATTAACAAAGTATTATTATCATCCGATAACTAGTACTAGATATTAGATCCTTACTTACTACTATTCATATATTACATACTATACTCTTTTAAACCTTAATCCAAATTATAAAATCTGTTGTATTCGCAAGGTTCTTCCTTGGACGTACACAGCAGGAATCACAAGGCGAATCCTGAAAACTTCAGTACTTAGCTTTACTGACCGGACGGCCAACGGTATGTTACCGTGGTGTTCTAACACTAAATACCTACTCTAGAATCTAATGCCTTAGCTAAATGACCATGATAACGAGTACAGGTTTAGCTAAGGTGGACCGCTCTATATTTCCAAATACGTCTTAATTGATAACGATAACGAGCACAGGATTAATTAAGTGCGTAAGTGAACGTATAGGTGATATATTAAGACAACATTGTACTATTCCTATTTCGTGGTTGTAATGACCATGATAACGAGCACAGGTTCGAGGTTCAGATCCAATAATGCCTTATTACCTTCAATATAAGCACAAACACCTCAGCAACTAAACTGATATTTACTCCAGAATAAAAGTAAGTAATGTTTAATGAAAAAAACCCTTGCTTTTAGCGCACAATTCTTGTAATGTATAATGAAATAATACTTAGGCATAAAATACAATAATTATAAAAGAAAGTTAAGTTAAAACGGTGGGTCTTTCCCGACTACCAAAAATGACGATCCTCTTCATAACACCAGTGAAAAAGACTTCCTTCAGAATGATAATGTCTTCACTCGACAATCAAACGTTCGTTCTTCCCACAATGCCAGTGGAAAATCGGAAGTAGTTTCAATACTATTTTTAAAAGCAGTATCAATTTATTTTTATTCATACCTTTAGAAGAAAAAAAATGGTAAAATTTCAGTGGTGAGGATAACCTATCTCTGGAAAATATCCCGATGAAATGAGGTATATTTTATAATCTCTTAATCGTACAACGCACTATCAGGTAACGTATCAATTGGTTTTTTGTATTTTTAGTTCGTTTACTCGAGTTGCTTCTATACCGCCTGAAGTATAAATCGTTTAGACTCGTGATTTTATATGATCTGTCTTTATGCAGGGTGTGGTATAATTCGTTACCCAAATGTATTGGTGACGTACGGATAAATTCACTGATCATCTTAGCCACGGCGGTTGCGCTGCCCATTAGAGATCCTAATGCCGACAAACCGACGAAAATAGGTGTCAACGGTAGCATACCTTCAGTTTAGGGTATAAGTATCACTCGAGACGTTTTATTTTAATTTTCATTATTCATAATTTCATTCTCGCGGCAGTCAATCATTTTGTTACTAACTTGTTCAAGTTTGTTTCCCTAATGTTTTTCTTCATCATAGTTTTAGTTGCTTTAAGGACTGTTTTCAACCTACACCCCACACCTAATTTTCATTTCGTTTTCATTCCCGTCTCAACTACTCACGCCAACGTTTTCTCCTTAAAGTTGGGGTCTTTTGCTTTAAATATTTCCCAAGCTCGATTTTTCAATATAAAGTTTGCTTTATTACGATCAGTTAAAGAATTATTACTTTCGTAAGTTGAATCGTGTTCTCTACACGCTGAGTCCAGTGGGTTTATATCCACGTCTCCTCGAGCAATACGTTTTTTCAAATAAATACCGGGCTCGCAATATTGATAGCCAGGCAAATGAAGATAGATCGGTAATTTATTTATAAGGGAGTCCGCATCCTTTATTATTGTTTCATCTTCGATCAAGTGACATTGTGTTATGATTAGATTTTACGTGTTATACGAATATTTATAAGAAAATGAGGTTTATAGAACATGAAGTAAAACTCGGTGTTGATAACGTTGATCCGCCTACAGTTTTTAATGGAACATTGCGGCACGGTTCGCTTTTTCCTAATACGATACGCGTACTAATTGTCGGACCTTCTGGGTGTTGTAAAACTAATTTAATTTATGCACTATTAACTAATGTGAAGGAGCCATCGTTTAACCGTATACCTAAACAACCAATTAGAGATAACATTAATTTAATTATTTTATTTAAACAAGACAAGACTAATTTAAAACACGTGTATAACGACCACTGCTCTAATGATAATTTATATGTTGAATTTAAACAATTTTGTACGACTTATTGAAATAAAAGGAGATTCGAGTTGTGATTAGTTAAGAAAACAAACGCAATAGCGGTCGTTATAGACACGGATTCGATACGTTCGTCGCTATATAAAGCGAGGTTATTCATTCATATTTCATTTATTATGTAACAATGCACAGAGACGGTGTGTTAAATGAGTTGATTGTGGCAAAAGAAAATATAAAACGAAAATATTCGGCACTAAATCTGGAAGATGACATTGTTCAAACGAACGTTATATAAACTTTAAAATCAATTATCAATCCATTGAATAAAATCCACAGTTCGTGTTTGAACACCGTTGCGACCACACGTGTTGTAATCACGCACCGTCTTTATTTAGCTTCCGATAGCAGTACCCATCGTGAACTCTGTGTCACAGACGTTCCTAACCTAACCATTCGCTACCAACCGCTCTATAAAAACCCGTCTCACCAAGTAGGCAAACCTACTTTATCAAACCCTACCATTTCAATAAACAGCAAATATCAAGAACTTAACTAATGAAAAATAATTCAATGACCAATAACACGCAAAATCAAAACCACATACCACCCACCTACAATGCACAAAACAAACTGGCACCCCTAGAAACAATAGTACAATGGAATATAAATAGCTATTATAAAAAACTGCCTGACATTCATCGTATAATTGCGGACCTTCATTCTCTGACGCTTTGCCTCCAGGAAACAAACCTTAAAAGCTAACACAAAGAACCAAACCTCAAAAATTATCATGAATATTTCAAAAACCGAGACCCCTAGGAAGAGCTAGTGGGGGAGTCGGCATCTTTATATCATCATCAACAGAGTGTGAACAGATCCCTCTCACTACTTCACTCGAAGCCATCGCCATATCCATCACAACAAATAACAATATTAAATTATCCATTTGCAACGTATATGCGCCAGACAGCACAGGGCTTACACTATTGGATCTCAAAAATCTTATCTCACAACTCCCACACTCATTGATTTACTAGGTGATTTCAATAGTAGAAATATTATCTGGGGATCCGATTACACAGACAGACGATGGAGAACAGTCGAGAAACTCTTAGAAGATGACTTGATAATCCTCCTCAACGACGGCAACCCAACAAGACATAATTCAACCGACGGTAGCTTTTCAGCAATTGACCTGTCTATAGTATCCGCATCCTTAGTAGGCACAATTGACTGGACCGTGCAAACATCCTATTGCAGCAATGATCATTGGCCCATAACCCTAAGGCTACTCAATTCTCAATTAATGCACAAAATACCCCCCAGATGGCTCTTGAAAACGGCCAATTAGCAAGCTTTCAGCGACATGGCTGACAAACTATTGGCCGAAAATCATTTCAACACTCACTTTCAAACAAACCCCTCTGCAAATATTGACTCAATAGTAAAAGCATTTACTAATACAATAATTGAAGCAGCAGAAATCACAATCGGAAAAAGCCAATGCACTTTTGCCAGGAAAAAGGTACCATGGTGGAACAACGAATGCAAAACTGCCATACAGAACTACAAAAAAGCCCCAAATAAATTCAGGAAAACAAGACTTCAATCTGACCATATCATACTTGAAAAATTCAGAGCCTTATTACGCCTAACAATTAACAGCAGCAAAACAAACTCGTGAAAAGATTTCACCTCTAACATCAACCACATAACCCCGTCCAATATAATGTGGTCCAAAAATATGAGTATCAAAGGAATCAATAGAACTCAACCTAAAACAATAAACTATCACAACAATAAACTCTTTGACAAAAAAGAAATAGCAGACACTTCTGGCTCCTTTTTCCAATTAAACAACAGCAATGAAAACTATGATACCCAATTCTTATCTTATAAAATAATAGTCGAAAATACCTCACCAATCAACTATGAAATTAAGAACCCCGATAAGTCTATGAATTACCCTTTCACCATCATGGAACTCAAAAACTGTCTTTTTAAAAAAAAAGAGCAAAAGTCCCAGCCTTGTTGGAATACCCTTCTCGTTTCTACAACACCTTTCCTCCTTATCTCTTAATTATTTACTCAACATCTTCAACAACATATGGACTAAAAACCACTTTCCAAAACAATGGAATGCCGCCACCATCATTCCTATTCCCAAACGTAATAAAACCATTTTCGATATCATTAATTATAGACCAATATCTCTTCTTAATACCATGAGCAAGATTCTCGAAAACATGATTAACACTCGACTAATATGGTTCCTTGAAACACAAAATCTTCTTTCCCCCATCAATTCGGCTTTCGCACCATCGACCCATTGACAACAATCCACACCAACGTATGTGATTCACTTGAAATCAAAAACCACCTCTTAATGGTTTCATTAGACATCGCTAAAGCCTACGATTCAGTATGGAAACATGGAATTCTACTCACTCTACAAAAATGGAACCTCTGCAGCAATTTACTAAAATTTATTAATAACTTTCTTGAAAACAGAACCTTAACCAGGTTAAATTCAGAAACATTCTATCATCGCCTTTCACAACAGAAAATGGCCTTCCACAAGGTTCCTCCTTAAGTGTAACACTTTTTCTCGTAGCAATCAAATCAAGCTGCTCGTTAAAATCCTACTATACGCAGATGACTGTAATATTTTTTGCTCTGGAGCAAACATCTACAACACAAAAACTCTCGTGCAAACTGTTATCGATAAAATTTCTCAATGGTCGAAGAGAACTGGCTTCAAATTTTCTCCATCAAAATACAAAACAATTCTTTTCCACCGAAAAAATAAAATTCTTTCCCCTGCAATCAAAATGCAAGATTCAATTTTTGCACAAGCCAACAGCATCTGACTCTTAGGACTAACCTTTGACCACAAACTAAAGTGGACGGTACATCTAAAACAGCTGAAAACAAATTTACAAAAAAAATTAAATATAATTAAAATTATAAACCACTACAAATGAGAAGCAAAACGCAAAACCCTTCTCGTCCTCTTTAATTCTCTTATATAATCAACACTTGTCTACGGCTCCACAATTTACGACTTAAGTAATCCTAACACTCGTAAATTACTTAACCCTATAAATAACGTCGGAATCAGACTGGGGCTACAGGAGTTTTCAGAACAAGCCCAATTGATAGCCTACTTTGTGAGTCCGGCATCCTTCCACTGGATTTTAGACGCAAATACCTTTCTGTTAAATACGCAGCTAAAAAAATTTCAAGACTCCAAACCAAAATGAAAGAAATAGTTATCAAACCTCTCCGAACTCATCATTACAAACCACTATACGTTAAAATAAACGAGATTCAAGAAGAAATAATTGTTAATATCAACAAAACAAGACCCATAGAAAGTCCCTCTCCATTTCCCCCATAGCATACCAACCTTATTGAAAATAACACTGATCTTAAAACATTTGACAAAAACCTCACACCACACAGACAAATCATCAATTCGTTTCACGAAATAATAAACAATAACTTCAACAGTTTTTACCAAATATATACAGATGCCTCTAAAACCCCAAATCAAACTAGTTTTGCTATCACACATACGTCACAAAATATCTTGTTCAAACTTCCTCAATTTACGAGCATCTACACAACAGGAATCCTAGCAATTTTCGAAGCACTATTAACATCTTCTCTACCCGTAACTTACAGTGATATCCTCATTCTAAGTGACTCTATGAGTGCTATATCAGCTATATTGAACACCAACATAAAATGCAACATTGCCCAAAGTATCCAGTAGAAAATACGCGCTTACTTCAAAACTATAAAAATAATGTGGATCCCATCACCCATCGGAATCCACATACAGATTCTAGAAATCAAATCAGAGATAAGACTAAATCACCATATGATAATTGGTTTTTATCTCTAGATTTAAATAAAACGTACGGACCCAAATTTTTTATCATAATCATATTATTTTAGGAAAACAAAGAATTAAATTCACTGACAATAAATCAATTGTCATACACTCGACGAAAAGCGAATATAATTAAACAAATGGGCTTTTGGGATTAATTTTCTTGAAATCACCGATTAATTATAATGAACACGATTTAGAAACATACAAGTCTATATTGATACAAACGGGTGCCTATATAATCATTGCTGGATCTAAGATTAGAAAAGGCGGTAATAAAAACATAAATATTATTTCAAAATTATTTCGTCTTGACAGAAGAATACGAAAAAAATTATAAAAAAACATTTTAGACTATTGGAACAATTCAAACAAGTTAATTGATCAAACTGCGTTTGTTGGTGGCAACACAAGAAGCTGGGAATACCGAGGTTGATAACGAGATAATATCACCCTTCGAATAATTGTATGAAGTAGGTATAATAAAAAGAATTCTAAATGTCTAAACGTGAGATTGCAAATGAGCTGCATCGACTTGTTAGAAAAAACTATACGAGACGAGTAGTTAATATTTATGGGAAAATTTATCTATGGCAGACGGACTTGATTGAAATGATACCATACTAAAGGAAAAATAAAGTTCACAAATAAATCCTATGCGTTATAGACTGTTTTACAAAATATGCGTGGGCTATATCTTAAAAATCAAAAATGGGCAAAGAAGTCACTACTGCAATGTCTAGAATATTAATTAGAAGGTCGCCAAAGTTATTACAGCTCAATAATGGAAAAAAGTTTTACAATACGACATTCAATGTATTCATGAAAAAATACAATGTAAAAAAAAAAAATATTCGACGTTTAGTACTATTAAAGTGAGTATCTTCGAGCGGTTCAATCGCACGCTAAAATAATGAATGAATTAATCACAGAAATAATTAAAATTTCAAATCTAGATTCTAGCTTACGCAAAATCGAAAAGTTTTCGGAGATTCCCTAGAACACAATAGAAAATGAAGCTTTTAACCTCAGTTCAGATAAAACTGTTATATAAGAAAGACGTATTTTACAATGTCTTCAACTATTTTAAATATTCAATGTGTATTACGGTCGGATAATAAATATTTAATAAAAGAATTGTCTGTAATTGGTACAGAAACGTGGTAATCTAAACATTTGATATTTAAACATACGCCCACCGTTCAAAATAGAAAAAGTCTTAAGTCTAATAAACGGCTCGAACGCAATTTCTATCATATACGTGTAGGATACGATGACGTAGAGTATGAAGAACTTGATCGTATTTTGAACTCTTTGAAATTCGAATGCATATAGGTCAAGATAAAACAGAAACGACAATTAATTAAAATAATTATCCTGCAGATATCGTTAATATGGAAGACATGGAATGCCCACGATTAGATCAATTATGCGTTAAAGAAAATTGACCATGTTATATTTTTCATATGGATTTGAATCCAAAACAATGTACATTTTATAAAGTTTTCTCATTAAGAAAATGATTTATTAATAACACTTAGTGTATATATATATACATTATATCTGTTATCAATGTATTATAATCCAGTGGACATTAAGGATAATGTAACCTTAGATGTTTATTTTTAAAATAAATCATTATATCCGATTTACAACATGTGTTTTATTTAATACCATATTTACAAATAATTTTAATAACAAGGGGATTATTAACAAATAAATTTGTTTTACGGTATAAGATGCCTATTATATTTATACTCGTGACTATAAAAAAAATAATAAACTAATAAAAATAAAAATTAAATAATATACTAAAAACCAAAACAATATTAATGAGCAACATTCAATATTCCAGTTTACATGATATTTAAAATTATTTAGTTTAAAAAAAAAAGTACATTTATAAATTAATTTAATCACAGTCATCCATCATAAGATCTTGTAACATTTCCGTTTCTAACATAGCGCTAAAATAAAAATTTATAATTTTGTTAATAAATTAGTTTTAAAATATATGTCGCTAATTTTTCGTTATTTTAATCATTGTGTTCGTCTTCATCAGATCATCGATTTTATATGCCAATTCAAAAATGTCAACAACAAATTTCTTCGCCACGCCCGACCTCTTCTCTGAACCACAGTAGATAACGGGGGACATCGGGATGTTAAACTTCGCCAACAACTCATGAGGGACATCATCCAACGCTTTCACCACGAATCCATAACTCATCGGTTTATGGTGGTGCATTACCGTCGTGTTTACGACCCGCTTCTCTCAAACTGCTTTTACCAGTATTGCTTCAAAGTCCGCATAAATTACTAACGGATGCCCCTGGGTTTTGCTTAACGCCTCAAAAGAAAGTAAATAATGCCCTTTTAATTATTTTACCATAATATGATTTATATATTATTGACAGAGCATCATTATCAACTGAAAACCGCTCAGAATCGTTTTTTGTTACCAATGGTTTATCGTTGCTTAAAGATATACATTGAATTCCCGTCTCTATCTTACATTCCTAGCTTCCCACATACAACCATTACTGCACCCATGTTCGAAGTATGGCCGTCTTTTTTGAAATTTTTAAATGATTTGTTTTTTATCTAAATACTAAATTAGATACCACAAACCCTTATAGTTAGTATAACTTCTTATGTAGTGTGTTTCGAGATTGTCGTATCGAACTTCGTATCATATAGATTGAAAGTGCCACGTCATCTCATTCGGATACTACGAACATGTTGAATAAAAGAACAAAATATCTACTTACTCAAACAGCGTTGGCATCTGGCGCTTTTGCGTGGTGATTCAAATCGATCAATCAGAAAGCACAATTGGTTAGCAGGTGCCGTATTCATCTATATTTGAAATGTGGTGTAATAGGAGAATATTGAAGATAAAGCTGGATAGATAATTCTGCCCATCCAGCTTATTGGTTATTTAACCATAATAAAAAAATAACCGATAGAATATTTAGAAAGACTAAAGCTATCATAATAGATTAAAGTAAGAAAATGGAATGAATTGATAGGCCATTTAATACGACATAAGAGATTGTTACATTGTTAGAACTAATTATAAGCCAAGATACAGTTTAAATTTGCCAAGAGGCAGAAAAAATATTTCGAACATACAATGTTTTTTTGCCAAATAATAAATGAAAATTTTTTTGTGCAATAAAAAACAATATATGAATCACAAACCAAACATTTTCAAAGAACTCAATAATCATTATTGTCTAGATCAACAAATATTTAATTTTCACCGAGATCAAATAATAAGTCTCATTATATTAAGATATTTAAATTTAAAATTTCTTCATGTAACTTCAATAAAAGAAAGAAAAAAAGTAGTAACTCAATCAGAAAAAAATGCATAAAACTCATTTTATTTAGAAATTAATAATATGTAGCTAATAATTATATTTTTAAATTTAAATTTTTTTTAAATATTGTATTTATTTTGAAAACGATATTATTGTCGCAAAATTTTAAATAAGTGAATGAATTATAATATTATAATTTATTATTTGTTCAATTTTGAATTATTTAATTATTTATGCTACATTATTTACTATTGAATATAAATTTTACAATTTAACGATTTTACATAAATATTTTTACATTTTTTTTCTTAACTTTTACTTCCAAATGATGATCCTATTTATGCTTTTTGCTGTTTCTACTAAATTCTTCTACCATTGAACATTACCATTTATCATAATGTAATATTAATATACATTATAGTATCACAATGAATTATAATGAATTATTCATCAATTCATAACCATGATAGTCAAAATGTAGCGTTTTATATTTTGACTGTGATATACCTGATGATGAATTTTTAATGTTTTTTTTAACCGGTTATATAATACACATATCATAATACTCATTTATTTATATTTAATTAATTAATTCATTTTTTATTTGTATATTTATTGATTAAATTAATAATACTAAAATTTAACTTTACTTATGTGAATTTTATGTTGTAAAATTAAATTATAATAATATCATATTCATTGATTATTCCTTACAATAAATTGTTTCTTAGAAAACAATTATTCAAAATTGCCAATTACTATAACACTGATTAGTAAGAAATAAATTGAATTTTCATAAACTTCGAACACTGTTTATAAATGAATGACCATGCCCAATTATTGATAGTTTTAAACACCAAATTTTTTTTTTTAAATAAATGTTTAAATAGTTATATTAACATTTTTATTTTTGATTATTAAAAAATAAAATGAAATATAAAGTATAAAAATTATATTGTCGAGCTCTAATAATTATTGCAAAAAAAAAAAAAAATATTGAAAATATTTAATAGAAAAAAAGTTATTACATTTGTTATTTAATTTTGTTACACCTTGTATATCCTTTAAGAAGAAGTTTTTTAAATACTCGTTAAAACCGTATCGAATCAGTTGTGTAGTTTAGAAGAACTAAATGCATAAATAGATAGATGCAGATAGGAAATTTGTTTTATACTGTTTAGTGATTATTAGCATACATTTGTATTGTACTTTTGTTTCACTTATAGACTCACCTAATTTTTATTTAGAACTACTTATTATAACACAAGCTATAGGCTTAGAATTAATGTACTGAGTTATTTAGTAGTTATAGGTTGATAGATACATTTGGCAGATAAAAATATTTAAATATGTATCCAGTACATATTACACTACTTGTCAAAGGTAAATTTCAATAGTATTAACAAGGAAAAATATTCATTTAAAAAAATCAAACACTATTTAGAAAATTTTTCATTATATAATTTTACAATAATTACATCAGCAGTCTAATGTTTATTGATTGTTATTTTCAAGCTATCGAATCCATGGAATCAATAACATAGAGTCATATATATCCTGCCAGAATTTGGTTCTCCTCTTAATTTCTTGCCTGAAAATTATTATGGTTAAATCCTTTATGAAATTATGTATTGAAATAGTAATTTATATATTCAATAGACGTTATTTTTGAATATAATAATATTGAAAATAATAGCTATTGAAAAACATATCAAAATTATGTGACAAAGAACAAAAATCATGCAGTCTAAAATGAAATTAGAATTGAAATACAAATAACACAATTTAAGTGAGTAGAATATTTTTTGAGAATAATATGTTACTATTTTTTTTTTTTTTTTAATATTACAAAACAAAATTAGGTTGCAGCCATGTTAATTTTTAAATTTTTAAAATATTTGTAACATTTATGTCTTAAAATATTTTTAAAAAAAGGAACTTAAAGCCCTTGAAAATAATCTTCTCTTTAAATTATATTATTTAATTTAAGTGGGTAGTTTTATTGAAACTTGAGTGTAACAATTTAATTTCTAAGTAACGCAATTTTACTTTGTTGTTCGATAGATAAAATGAGACAAAAAATGCAGTTAGGGCCGATAAGGCATCTCCTATCCTCTTGAATGACTAAAAATAAAATAATAAAGGAAGTTCTTTTACTTACGCTTCGAGCCAATTACAGTGAAACACAAAAAATGCTTTTACGCAATCATGTGAACAGTTTTTTATGTTATTGTACGTTGGGCACACAGACAAAACATGTTGGAAAGCTTCCTCGACTAAAACAAAACCAATAAAATGCTGTTAATGAACAGTCATATAAAATAGTATTAATAACATAGATTATAGTATTTCAGGTACTGAGTTGAGCCAAGTTGTTTTAAATAATAGTTGTTTTTGGTTAATTATGTTTAATCATTACTTACAAATATAAATTGCATTCCCCTTTATATCTTACCTCCCCAACTTCTCACCTAAAACAGTGGTGCGAATTATGACTGTATTTTTTTTAAAATTTAGTTTAGTCAACAATTTATGAAAAACTAAAAAACTATACACCAACAAATATTCATTGTTTTTAGTAACTATGAACTGTTACATGCATAGGTATTACTTGTTATATTCTTTTTACACGCAATATTAAATTATGATATTAATTTCATTAGATGATTTATTCTAAAATACTAATCAATATTAAAGTTTCATAATTAATAATTGTAAAGGGAAGAACTTGTAAGATACTATTTTAAAACCATTTAACTTTTATCACTGAAAGACGAGATGATTTTTATTTAAAAATAAATTAGCAAAAAAAATCAATGTTAGTAATTGATAGAATACGCTAGTATTTTTTTCCGTTTTAATGAAAATTCTTATAAAATTAATATAATTTATAAAGTAATAAATTATGGTTTTTGTTTTTTATTAATTATTATACGTATCTTTTAGTTAAATTTTAGACATTAGATCATTAATCAAGGTATCTAAAATATTTTTATTCAACCCATACATTTTAAAATTGATATAGTTTGATTATTATCACAATATTAATGTTACCCTGATTAGAACAATACTCATTCATCGGTTTTTCACAGTCCTTGGCAAGTTTATCGCCATCTTTTATTCCAATGGATGCTTCCCAGGAAATTGTCTTCACACAATCGCAGTAGTTGTTCACTATACAAATCGTCATGACGAAGAATATTATACCTCTCATTGTTATATGAATTTCTAAAAAATAAAAATATAACAAATAATTCAGTGTTTTAAATATATTGCTAAATTTAAATTTAACATATTATTCTGAATTTTTTACCATTTTTAATAAATACACAAATGAGAAATTGTCATTCACAAAAAACGTAAAAAAAATCATTCTCATTTGAATACTAATAAATAAGTAAACATTAAACAAATATGCATCTTACCTATAACGGTTAATTTGAAGAGTAACGGCGTGCGGCGTGTGGTAAACGACGAATCTGTAGACGTGTGCCTTATGATTTGAAACCTCGTTGGTAATAACTAATAGCGGTCACAACGAAAGAGGCTAGGTAAGTGAAACGGTACAACCCTCGAGAGAGAGCGTTGTGCGCCATATCACTGCTGTCGCGGTAGGCCGTAATCACGCCCATTACCTCGCTGTGTCGACCAGTTCGTGAAATTTCGGTTTCGTACGTGAGCGCGTTTTATTAACGTACTTGTCCCCAACCTCACCCTTTTGACATTTTTAAATTTTTTTTAAGCCATCATTTAACAGCCAATAAGCAAGGATTTTCAAAGCCACCTCCAACATTCTCGAAACATTTTTTCCAGAATTGCAATTTTTCGAATTAAAAATTCGTAATTAATTAAAAATAAAGTAAATTTAATTAATAAACAACTATTTTACCAGAAATGCTGTTCAAATCGAAAACCGACAGGAAAGATTTTTTGTGTTATTTTGGAACTAGTTAGTTTTAATATTTGTTAGAAAGCAAATAGCAATATTCTTAGTCCGTGGTTTTGGCTTATGACTCTGCAGTTAATAAGCTACCGTACGAATATATTATATAATAAATATTGAAACTTATATTATTACGAATATTATTGATAAGTTTTTATTATTTTTATTATATTATATTTTTAATTATAAGTAATTTAATACTGTTTTATTTTAACATATTGTAATAATGTGTAATATGTAATATAATGATGAAAATCGAATTTTCTGTTCTTTAAACAAAGTTCATCAGTAACCTTTTCTGAAGAAATGTCAATACTTAAATGGCGCGACAGTGGTGATAATCCATTAAGCCTTCTATAATAATACGAATCCACGAGCTATAATAGTAATCAATCGCTTATTAGTTATTATTAGAACAGTGGTTAAAGCTATTAGCCGGATGGTTATTGATAATAACAACGATATTTTACGATACGAAACGTTTTCAAGAAAATTTACTTCTAGTGGTGGTTTGGACCGCTTGTATTTTTTTAGTGAAATGACATATGTATCACCTCCTTTGCCTTTCCTTCATAACAAAAACTAAACTGCACCATAATGGGATTTAATAACATTAAAATAATAGTAATATTATATGCATATAATATATACATTATACCAGTGGTTTGCAACTTGTACGACGTGTACGTCGTGGCTTTCAGAGGCGTTGTGATTTATTATAAAAGAAGTTGCGTTTATAGTAAATATAGTAGAGTATTACTGTAAATGTATTTATTTTAATTTTTATAATTATCATTATACGTAAGGGAGCCACTAATTTCGTTTTCAAAATTAGAAGAGTCGTGGATTCAAATAGGTTGAAAACCATTGCAATACAGGCTGTTCCACGAAGATGTACCCCTTTTTTTTTTTTTAATTTGTTTAACAAAAAAAAATGAATTCTACCATACATATTTGTAATTCTCATCTCTACGAGTAATATAAAAAAAAAAAAAAAAACATAATTCGATTATCTTTATTATCTCCGGAGTTATTCAAGGAGTAGAGTATATCTTCGTGGAACAACCTGTATATAAATACAAATTATCATTAACGAGTGTAAATGTTGAATGAATTGATTTTACATTAACAAGAACCACTTATCCTAAACATTATCTATAAGTCTATAAATAGAAATAGGATGACACAAAGATTTTATGAATTTAACGGGATAAATAATGATTTAAAAATGTTAGAGATGTGCTTGCAAATTCTCTAGTTCTGGTTTTCCCTAATTATAATAAACTATAGAAAAAATCTTGAAAACAAATAACTTATTCATGAACTAGATTAGAAATGCAATAAAAAAGGTCTCGGTTTGTTTATCTATTGGAACAATATTTATGGTAGAAAACATAAGCTGTACAAAATTTAAAATAATGAAATTTTTGGAAAAAATAATAATAATAATTGGAAAAAATCTTATATTTCATCTTTTTTGGTATTTCCCAATTATTTCGAAAAATAAATTGGATATCAAAACAAGACTCTTTTTTTTAGTGGCTGCGTATCAAAAAAAAAAAAACAAAATCGATCACTTGTCATTTTTGGATTGAAGCAAGATTTATGTTAAAAAAAAAACAGCGTGTTAATATTATAAAAACAATGAAAATACAATATTATTATCGGTAATTTGAGTGGCTGGTAAGGTTTCTTACATCGATTTTTTTTACCTTAAATACGTTTTTACCAAATACCTGTTTAAATACGAGTTTATAAAATTCGTTGTAGACATTATTATAGCGGTGCCTGTATGACGGTGATTCGGGAAACATACCTACGATTATTTGATACGTGCTGCGATAGCTAAGAAAGTGGGCGGATGATATGTATGAGGCGAGGAACCAGTCCCATTATTTATATCACAATAGGTATAATAAATTCGATAAAGAATATACCTACTCGTAGGTAAGTAGATATTTATAGGCAGTTATAAGTATTAGGACAACCCTCTTACTCATAATGGATTTTTTTCGTTGCAGTGCAGCTGCACTTTATAATATGTTTGTACTTACAGTTTAAATTCTTTTCAGATTTTAAATCTGACATTTATATTATTTACGAGTAAGCTGGGAGATTAATATTTTTGCTGTTATTCTTTTTCAAGGTAAAGTAGAGCGTTAAAACATTATATGAGTTTTTACAGACATATGCTCGACATATGCTTAAACGTGTATATACAACACCTGTAATAAAATACTACAATAATTATCACAAAAGACGATTTTCTAAAATATTAACATATTATAATTATAAAACTTGCCTACATTGTATATTACATTCACACGATATTAAATCTTTAAACATAATATTATTGTTAATTTATCCACATCAAATGTCCGACCAAACATTGTACCTACTTATCCTTTAATAAATATTGAATAATATACAGTTTAATATTTCCATACTTGAGCTCAACAGATTGAACGTGATTCTTCAGATGAAAATAATTCTAAAACCGTTAGAAAGAAACATTAAAAAATTGATCAAAAAAAGATAAAAAAATGGACAGATAAAAAAACAGTAACTTATATTTATTCATCTAACAAAAAAAATATCTAATTATAATTATGGGTGTTGCACTGTTGCCACTATTATAGGTGAAAATTTGAAAAAGTAGAATAGTTAATTAAGTATTTAATTAAATAGTTAATTTAATTTAAATTCGTAATGATTTCTAATAAAATCTATCTAATTCAATACAATTTTCTTACACCACAAAATAATAAACACAAAGTCATTTTTAAAAAATAAATTTTGAAGTTTACAAAAAAATTAATTAATGTGTTAATTATGTACAGACAATCCAAGTATAATTATTATTAGGGAACAGAGGACATATAGCTCTAAAAAATACGATTTATACAAGCACTTAAAAAACATCTAAAATAATAAAAACAATTACCTACGTAATTGAATTATAGCCTTATCACCGACAAATTAATTAAAAAATAACCTTTTTGTCTTAATGAAATTTTTACTATTAATTTGTACCAATTAAATTAAATAGTTCATTAGATGGATTGATTGATTTTTTTAATATACATTATTTATTCTTTTAACACTAAAAAATAACGTTTTTAATACGTTTATTCTTGATTCCATTAATGATTTTCATTTTGATAAATGTTATTTCTAAATAAATTGAGAAAATAAGTCTGAAAAAGCCCTCAAAAGGTATGAAAAACCCACAAATGTTTCAAAAATACCTAAATATGCAGAAATATGCAATACAAAATTATAGATTTGGCTCTGTTGTAACATATAATAAATGTCTTTCAATTTAGCATTTTTATACAACCGTGCAAAATAAGTATGCAAATTCTAGAGGAACTCCGGCCTAATTATTATACAAAATATACGTTTTAAAATAAAGTTAAATATTATTATTTTATTTTTATTTTATGCGAATGACATAAAATTATATCTTCTTTAATCCTTGAAAATCATTTTTCTTTGTCTTCGTTCCAACTATTTAAGGTCAGCCAAATTGGTTGTTCCGTATTTCGACTACAACAGTTATACACTTGTTTCCAGTATAATTTCTATCAATATTTTGTCTGAGTAGATGCGTGGCAACCTTGTAACATGTTTCACCACGCGTCTTTGGAATTTTTCGATAGGGTCGTACAATATAATATGAGAGTAAAATATTACAAACCGTACCTGTTACACTAGAATATTATTATGTGACAGCAACAACCCGTGTCTGTAGTCGTTGGGTGGTCTCGACATTCTTTGGAACCTGTTTTGGGGTGGATGACGATGGTATCGGTTATTTCGTCTTCCAATTATTAAATTCCTATTATGTATTTCTATTATCTATGTGTGTGTGTGTATGTACAACACGCTCATATTCTATACTCGATGGGCCGACTGGAACACTGCCGGGAACACAAATCACTATATTTATATAATTATATTATATATACCTACTATATGATATTATACAGTAGTAGTGACCAACTAAGGCCAGCGGGCCATAACCAGCCCGCGACCATTCATTAATCGGCTCACCAAAGTATTAAATCAAAGTTGAAAAAAATAACTTCAAGTTTCAAAAATTAACACTCACATTAAAAAAAAAAAGATATGTTCTTTAAATTATTTTTCTCATTTATAACAATCAATACAAAATATAATATAATTAAATGGATCTCAGAAAAAAAAACCCAAGGAAAAAAATATTATTTTTATGGATTTTGCATACAAAATTTAAAATTATTACCTACTATATTTTTTATACAATAATTTATAAATTAATTAACAGTTCAACAAATATATTCTTTATCTAATGATATTATCCCAATATCGTCATTGGAATCGAGACAGTAATATTATAATAGATGCCCACTACGCAGTTATTCGGCACCAAGACTGTATTATAAATTAATCTCGTCGTAGAATAGAAAGAATCTGTGAACACATGAAACCAAACCTTTTTTCGTAATCCTTATATCCGGTGTCTGTACCGACGCGCCCAAAGTTCACAAAAAAAAAAAAAAAAACGTTTTCCTGTAGAATTGTAGCAATTTGGTTTTTATGTACAGTCGTCACATAACGTAAACGATGTATGACCACCTCGAAAAACTCACTATAATATGTATGATCATATTGTGTTATCAAAGACGCCGCTAAAATTTCAAAGAA